CGCACCTACCTTCACACAGCACCCCCTTCCTATATACTGAAACTAGGGGTACAATGAGCACCTACCTGCACCCAGATCCCTCTTGCCATATATAGGTAGACTAGGGGTACAGCAGGCACCTACCCGCACCCCCGTCCCACACACTTAGACTGGGGGTACAATGAGCACCTACCTGCACCCCCCATCTCATACCCATGCACATACAGCCCTGGGGTACATGCACCCAGCACCCCCGACCCACACACTGACAGACTGGGGGTACAATGGGCACCTACCTGCACCCAGATCCCTCTTCCCATAGATAGACTTGGGGTACAGCAGGAACCTACCTTCACACAACACCCCCCTGGGGGTACAATGAGCACCTACATGCACCCAGATTATATATATATAGACTGGGGGTACAGCAGGCACCTATCAGCACCCCATTCCTATATACAGAGAGACGGTGGGAACAATGAGCACCTACCTGCACCCCCATCTCATACACATACAGCCCTGGGGTACCTGCACCCAGCACCCCCAACACACACTGACACACTGGGGGTGCGGTGGGCACTTACCTGCAGTCCAGCACACTAGAGCATTTCTTGGCACACACGTGGACGTCTCCTTTCATCTCCACCTTCTGGTCTCCCTCGTGGAGGTGCGACAGCTCGGTGGCTTTGGATCGCTGGTAGTCATTGAGGGGGCTGAGCTGAGCTGTGAGAGACGGACACAGAACACACCGGATGAGAGGACGCCGGACATCATCCTCCCCCTCCGCTCCCCATCCTCCGGCTTCAGAACCAAAACTACTGCTGCCGTCGCCTATAGAAACCACGCAGATTCTTAGCCCATGCAGGGTGTAGGAAGTGGCTGCAAAGAGCTTACCGAGAGATCAGCAGCCCTAAAACTGAACAAAAAGGGAGGCAGCCACCCGCGGAGAGACTACAAGTGTCAGCGAGGAAACACAATGTAACAACCTATTATTTATTGTACTACGCCTGACCTCTGACCTCTGACCCCATATCACTGCAAGAA